AGAACGACATTTTCTTTATAATTAAGTCCCTGTAAATGTAAACTTTACATTTAAAATGTAATCATATTAGAACTTTAATCATTTATTTTAAATCAGCTGGAACACTAAACTGAGTCCTTCACTTTATTGCTTCATACCTTTCATATTGGACTGTATCCAAATCATTGCTTATTCTGACTCTGGTCGCATTTTAAATAATGCATACTTGTTAACTGAGAACAGTATTATAAGTAATCTCCCTGTGTAGTAGATTCCTTCACTAAATGATTCTTTTCTTCCTGTACCTCTATACTTATTTATATATCTTTTCACACTCACATCTGAAATAAATCCCTCCACAGTGTATATAGCATTTGTACAGACTAGAGATTTTAAACTCCCTTGAAATAGTGCCCTTTACTTAGTGAGGCTAGAGCACCTTGCTTGTGTCTTACAGGCATAGTGAGGATCCTGCCATTGGATCCTCACCACGGAATAAGCCCTTGTTTTCCAAAGCCTGATGGATGTGAATTCTGGATAGTACACAGTAGTAAACGGAAGCAAAAACAGGCTAGTCAGCTGGCTTGCTGAGTCTGGTTTTTGTGTTTTAAGTCTGTCACACAGCAAAGCTTGAAAGTACAACTCAAATGTAACTAACACAGGAATGTGACGTCTTTGGAAAAACCAAAAGAGAAGCTTGCAAAATTCTGAAATACACTGTGCAGCTTAGCAATTACAGACACAGGACATGATTTTCATGACTTAAGATTACACAGCCACTGAAAACCGTGCTGCCCACTCCTTTCCTTCTTTAGTGCTGGGGATCACAAGGCCTCAATGAGTCAGATCTGCTTGCTAATCAAGTTAAAAGCTTTTTATTTGTCAGATTTGTTCTCTTGGAACAACAATGCGATGAGACCCATTGTGCAGTTACAGAATTTCAGCAGTGATGTAGTCTTGCATCTATTTAAGCTGATTGTGAAACTGAGTCTTCATATTTACAAGTATTTTCGTTCATACAGTGAATATTGCTAACAGTGTAAAAACACATAAGAGAGGACAGATCATTAAAATATTCTCAGTAACCAATTGGTCTAATTGCCACAAATGCATATAATTTCAGAATTGTCAGCTTTTCTTTCCTTTCTACCTTGGAGATAAGAGAAACACATCTTAGGAAGAGGGATCCAGTCTTGGGAACTATGAAGATGCCAGGGCAGTTTTGTCGGAAGAAATTTGTGGTGCAACAAAAATGGCTGATCAAAAGATTCATTGAAGTAGCGCTTATGTAAAAACTGACAGTACTGTTCCATTTTATTTCAAAATTGAATTTAAATAATTCTTATTCTGACATTTAATGGTAAAGTTGAAAGGCACTAGCTTGCAAAATATGGTCTAATTTAATTCAGATCTGATGATATTACTCAGCCTTTATAACTCAGCCTCTCATATGACTTGGCTAGGTGGTAAGATGCACACAGCTGGTCTCATTTTGGAGGTGATGTGGGAGCTTAGGAAGTCTCAGCTTTCCAAAGATGTGGAAAAGCTGGAAATAAGCTAACATGAAACAGACTAACACCACAATGCAAGAATGACTCTTCATCTGGCCAGTCAGATACTACTTAGTGCCGACTTAAATGCCGCACTGTGTCTCTAGATTACTTCAACGGTTAGAGGATATCACCAACTTCTACAGAAGACTGGGGAGAGTGGGAGAAGAATCATATGTACTTGCCTTGTGCTTTTCCACAGGCTTTTTGCCACTGTCAGAGACAAGATAGTGGACTACACGGATCTCTGGTCCTATTGTGTATAGTCTGTGTTATGTGCTCGTGTTCTCCAAAAGGTTTAACCACTTGGGCAGGAAGTAGGGAGAAAATTGCTTATTGCATAGGTGCAGGTATTAATGACTTTCTAAGGTATGCAATGATAACTATTCTTACGTTCCCACCTCATGAGGTTTCCTAGTAGCCTGGATACAGTTAATAACTCCTCAAGTTTGGAAAAGTTAATAAAGAAATAAAATATTTGCTAGTATTGTTTCTCTGGAAGTCAAAGAACAGTTGCTGCAGTATGGGCCTCGAGAGGTCATCTGCACTCTCCTGCTGAGAGCAGGGTCAGTTAGAGCAGAGTGCTCAGCACTGTGTCCAGTCAAATTTTGAGCATCTCTGTCTGTCTGCCTCTCACACATGGCACACACTGTATCTGGTTACAGCTTGTGTCCATTGTCTCCCATCCTATCACTGCGCACCTCCAAGGGTCTAGCTCCATCTGCTGTATACCCTCCCATCAGGTAATTAAGCTAGGGTAAGATCCCCCCCCTTAGCCTTCATTTCATGAGGCTGAAAAACAATTCTTGCAGCTTCTTATGTCCCATGTTCTGGCCCCCTAGCCATCTTGGTGGCTCTTCACGTGACTTTGTTTCTGTCTTTCATGTGCTGGGGCACCAAAACTAGACACAGGACTCCTGTTGGAGTCTCACAAGTGTTGAACAGATGGGAATAATTACTTCCCTTGAACTGCTGGCTATACTCTTGCTCATGCAGCCCAGGATGTGACTGTCCTTTTTTTGCCACAAGGGCATGGTGCTGGCTTATGTTCAATTTGTCCTCTAGGACCCCAGGGTCCTTTGCTGAAAGTTGCTTTCTATCCAGATGCCTCCCATCCTTTACAGTTGCATGAGGTTATTCCATCCCAGGCTGAACTTTGTATTTGTCTTTGCTGAACTTCATGAGGTTCCTGTCTGCCCATTTCTGCAGCATGTCAAGGTCCCTCTGAACGGCAGCCCTCCACTCTACCATATCTGTCAATCAGTCTTCCCAATTTGGTGTCATCTGTTCCTATGGGTTGTCCAGCTCTTATTAAAGACTGTAAACCTGTAAGCCTCAGTACTGACCCATGAGGAACATCACTAATAGCTGGGTACCAGTTGGGCTTTGTCTCACTGATTTGAGCTCAGTAGTCCAGCCATGTTTTCTACCCATCTTGTAGTCAACTTCTCCAGTTTGTATTTCACCAATTTGGCTCTAAGGATACTATGGGAGACCATGTGAAAGGTCTTGCTGAAGTCAAGTGAAACAGCATCCACGGCTCTTCTGTCCACCAAGCTAGTCATTGCATCACAGAAGGCAATCAGGATGGTCAGGCATGATTTGCCCTTGGTAAATCTGTGCTGGCTGTTCCCAGTTGCCTTCTTGTCCTTTGTGTGTTTGGAAACGGCTGGAGAATTTGCTCCATAACTTTCCCAAGGACTGAGGTGTGGCTGACTGGCTTGTAGTTCCTCAGATTGTTTTTTCTTGCCTGTCTCAAAGGCAGATGTGACACTTGCCTTTTTTTCAGTCATTAGGAACCTCCCCTGACTGCGGTGAACTTTTGAAGATGATAGAGACCAGCCTTCCAGGGACATTAGCCAGCTCTCTCAGGACCTCAGTTCACAGACATGTAGCCAGACCTCAGGTTTGCAGAAGGGCAGTGCAAACAGATGGTCTAAAACTATTTTCTCCTTCCTTGTCCAGAGATGCACCAAATAGTGCTTGCAGCTGACATGGAGATCTAAGCCCTTTTATGTATAGTTTATCTAATGGGGGGGATGTTAAATATTGTATTAATTATGTCACATTTTCAAAATGGCAGGCCTTTAGTTGCTTTCTGATTATGCCTGTTGCATTGATGTGTATTGATCAGAAGAGTCTGCAAGTGAAGCACAGACTTACTAAGGTTGATGGCAACAAGGCAGGTTTATTGGTGTGATGGGACTGTCAAGTGGTCTGTGGGAACCTCTGAAAATTAAGTGGCTCCCAATGATTGTCTGATGGTAGAGCTGAAAAAAAAATGAAGGTACTTCACTGGCATATGATGATGACTGACCTCTCTGCTTGCTTGTTCCAGTAAAATGGCTGCTCTGTTTCCCGCTTTATGCCAAATGTGTCTTACAGGAAGATTATGAATACGTAGATATTCAGCACTGCCATATATATCTGTATAATGTTACTGCAATGAATTATTACTTACTTTCTGAGTTAAATTTTGCATTCAGATACACCTTCACAGTTACCACTTGCAGTAAACTGGATTTTTACAGATGCGTTCAAAAAGAGCTCAGTTTTGCCAGCCTGCACCAAGGATGTTTTCTGAATCACACCAAAGCGGAAGACAGTATTATAAACAAAAATTAAAGCTAAATTGAGACTTCAGCTATAGATTTTGTTATTGTATTGTTCTGAATTCATGGAAAATTTACTGTTGAAGATCTGTAATCAGTTAATAGGTGGTCTCATGGCAGGAATTCCTGCATGTTACACAGTTGCAGGAATTGGACAAAGTTCTGTGAAAGCCAGGAGATACTATAGTAAAGCCTACTTTGAACTGTGCCACTATACTGGGGCAACATCTATATATGGTCAGCAGCGTAAATTCATACAAACATTGCTTTTAGAAGCTGTCTCTCTCAAAAAATAAACTTAACTCTTCACTCTCAACATTTAAGCATTTCTTGTGTGCTCATTTCAGTCGTACAAAACAATCTCATAATTCTCATCATTATCTCTCTATACTGTCTGGGGAAAGAAGATAACTACGTTTAGTACAAATTGCAAAAAAGAAAGCATAGCTACTGTATGAGACATATTCAGAGTAACATATTCAAGCTGGGCTTTTAGTATAAAGAGCAAGGGGAAATCCTGGCTGTGCTTTTTCTGCCAGCCTGCCAAAGATAGCCATATTTTCCTTAAACCATTGTTAATACCTTCAGAGCACATGCTCTTGTCTCTCTAGGCTCAGATGACATTTTCTGGGAGTAGTTCCCTATTGTCTACCTCTTCCTTCCATTCTTTCCTAACTGCACTGATTTATCTAGGCCTTAGAGAAAGCCTTGGACGTGTAGTCTTACATTATATTTCCTATAAAGTCTGTTCTAAAAATAAATTTTATCTTTGCACTACTCTCCAATATAATCTCAACTAGTATTTTTGTTCATTTTGGCTTACAGATGTTAGCTATATCCTGGTATAAGTTGACTAATGATGGCTTTGGGTTTCTTGTTGTGGTGGTTTTTTTCCAGCATACAGGGAGAGCTGGATGCTGAAGCTGAAAAAATGAGGGTATCCCAGCAGGACTTAGTTGCAGTTAATGAATCTGTTTACACCCCTGATTCTGATGTAACTTCACCTGCTATCAACAGAAATCTCATCCAGAAGGCTGGCTACCTTAATCTTAGAAAGTAAGACAACTGTTGCTACCTGCTGGTTTGTTTAGTTGCTGACTAGTTGCTACATTTTTTTCTTTTTTTAAGGTCGTAAAGACTCCTCAGGTAATGATATTTGAGGCTCCTGAGTCACTGTGGTAGCTGTACTCTTCAGCTCCTAAGTATCTCTGTCATCTTTGGAAATGTGCTTTAGAAGCTTAAACAAAATTAGAGGCATTTGAGACTGTTTTCCTGAAAACAGAAGTTTACTTCTGGTTGAATTCACCTACAGGGATGATTTCCAGCATTCAAGTGGCTAAAAATTAGAAACTGATGGGGCTAGATTCAGATTGTTCCCAGTTCTTAGGGCTAGTGAAAATACAGTGTTTACAAAAATAAACAGCTATATTTTGTAGTTAATACATGTTTTCATAAATTACCTCCTTAACATAAAGAAAAGCTTTATGGACAATGCAAGTGCGTAGCTTTGAATATATACCATACGTAGAGTTACCTCTGCAGATTTTCCAAATAAAATCTTCCATCAGCTGCCATGTATATTGGTGGCATATAGTAACTCTGTTTATGTGATTGATTAAATATCAGTTTATTTCTATTTGACTAGTGATTTTTTTTTTTTTTCATGAGTGGACATTTATTAATTTCTCTTAGCATTCTAAGAGCTGGATTACAATATAATAGGACTCCGTAGCTAGGGAGAAGATGGACTCTGAGATACTGCTTGCAGAAGATACTTTTTTTTAATGATGATTCTTTGTGCTGAAATTGTTCATGCTGCTCTTCAGCTTGAAAATCCTCCTTTTTTTTTTTATCCAGCTTATAGTATTTCATGTCAGTTACTCAATACCAATAATTCTTTTACTCCTTAACTAGGAGATACTGCAGAGAATGTTTTTAACTTGGGATTTTTGGAATTAGTTTAATTCTTCAGCTTTCATTAAGGATTAGTCTCTACTAGGACTAGGTGCTCCTTTTACTTCTTAACAGACACTCATCATAAAAAAAAATTCCGGGGTTGAACATAAAGTTCAGATTAGCATCAGGATACGTTTGCAGCTTCATGTATGTTTGGAGTAATTTCTAAATAGTAATGAGTCTTCATTACTGTATCTTCTCTTAAGTAAAACAGGTCTGGTGACTACAACTTGGGAAAGACTGTATTTCTTCACTCAAGGTGGCAACTTGATGTGTCAGCCAAGGGGAGCAGTAGCTGGAGGATTGATTCAGGACCTGGACAACTGCTCTGTTATGGCTGTAGACTGCGAAGACAGAAGATACTGCTTTCAGATCACTACTCCTACAGGCAAAGCGTATGAGACAAGTTTTATTTGAGGACAGCCAGTCACACCTACCCTTTCAGATGCTGTTTCATGTAAAACATGCTTGCTATAATAGTAAGCCTTTCTGGGTTTCCAGAAGGGTGTTTCCAGATTAAAAGTATGTTCCTTCCCATCCTCCCCCACAACTGCCTGAACAGCACATGCGGTATCCTGTAGCTGCAACTCATTTGTGATTTTTGTTCCTTTGATGGTTAATAGATACAAAACTTAGAGACGTTGTTATAAGACCTGGAGTCAAACAGTACTGGTGTCCACTGTCAGCACTGATACACTATGTTTATATTTTAGGGGTATAACCCTTCAAGCAGAAAGCAAGAAAGAATACGAGGAGGTAAAAATATTTTCTTAAGGCTGTTATTCTTGTATACAAGTGGGCTTGAAGAGTTTAATTCCATTTTTCCCTTCCAGTGGATATGTGCCATCAACAACATCTCCAGACAGATCTATCTCACTGACAACCCAGAGGTGGGAGCTTGTTTCCATCTTTCAGTCTGTTCCTTCCAACTTGCTTTCCCATTGTTCTTTACATGGCAATGTAAAGTACGTATGTAAAAGAGCTGTTTGGTCTTGTTTTCATAGGCAGCTGCAATCAAGTTAAATCAGACAGCCCTACAAGCAGTGACTCCCATTACCAGCCTTGGGAAAAAACACGAAGTTCACCACCCCAGGTAACATTCTCACTTGCACGGACTAGCGACTATGTGCTCAGTCATGCTCTTTTTACAGGGCAACAGTCAGCTGGGAGAAAGCCCTGTCTAGGCCCTGGCTTTACAAGCCTGTGTGTTCCAGCAAATTCCTCTGCTTCTGATGTTTCCTACTGAAAGCCGTAAGAGATGCTAAATGTTGAGGGTAATGCTTATTGCTCCACATTACAGCTTTGAAGCTCCTTGCGGTTGCCATTGGGATTTTGCTGTTTCCTCAGAAACAAACACAATGCTTTATTTGTAAGTGCTTTGCTGTAAGGGAATGACTTGTAATGTGGGTAATACAGCAGAGTCCCCAGTATACATTGCAGTAAGTATATTCTTGTATATTACCTCAAGCAGTTCCTGTCAGTCTGTCACAGGAATATGCCTTACACAGCTGTCAGAATAATTACTGTTGTTCTCTTGTGCTCATTCAGGTCAATCAGTAAAGCTCTCCTCCTTCAAAAATTGTTAATAATGCTCTAGGATATGCTTATATTCAAAATAGATATTTTATGTATAATTTCTTTGCATCCACATGATCCCAGCATCTTCCTCAGTGGGAATTCTTCAGACTTCATCATCAGAGTTGGCTTTCAAGCCCAGTGCTGGACTGAAATCCTGCTTTCAGAAGCAGTGTGATAAGTAAAATAGGCAAGTTTGTGTCACACTGACTTCAACATGAAGAGACTTCTCTGCAAGTTTTGTCAGAAAATTGTGAATTCTTACTCAGATACTTAGGGCTAGAAATTCAAACCTTTTCCAGATCTTCTGTCACTAAGGCCAGTGATTTATGATTCCCTTTATTATGATTGCTTACAGATTTCAAAGGTTCCCTATAGCCATGGGGAATGCCAGTCAATTTCTTTCTAATTTTATTCACAGTACAGCTGTTTCACTTCGATTACAGATTTATAAATAGAAAAATATTGCCATCTATTTCACTGGGCAAAGGAGATAGCTATTTCATTGACAACTGATCTCCCAAGTCACTTTTACATCTGTATGCAACCAGAAAACTTTCTAGAAATAGAAGGGTACCATGTGTAGTGATGTGTATGGTTACAACTTCTGTAGCTGTGGGAAGATTAGCATTTCATTCTCTTTGAGAAAGCAAAGAAATCTGACCCAGTGTGTAACACTTCTTCTCAGCTATCACATTGTAACAAGTCTGTGGCCAAGTAAGATCTTAAAAAGATGTCCAGATTCCCCTTGACACCGGTAGACACACGTGCAGGTCTCTGCTGTTTGAACTGATAACGTGGCTGTAAATATGGACACTAAAGGGCAGGGAGGCAAACAGCAACCTATTACGGAAGATCTGCCCACACTCGGAGGTGCTCTGCATTCAGGTTTAATATACCAGCATTTACTTTTTTCCTAAATAATTTTAGGTACAAAAAAATAAACTGGGGATTTTATTAGAGTCCTCAGTAACAGGTAAATAGGAGAATACTTTTATTTATGCTTAATGTATACTGGTTCAATCCCACTCTGGATTTTTGAATAATCTTGTCTCCCTTCCAAAGCAAAGATGAGGTGTCATTGATTGATTGAAACATTTTTTTCCATTTTCACTTTAGCCAGAATGTAAAAAATATGGAAAATGATAAAATAATTCCCAATGAATCAGCTGGCATTCAAGACTCCACACAACTCATTGCTCCTGGAACACCGATTCAATTTGATATCGTACTGCCTGCCACAGAATTCCTGGACCAGAACAGAGGTGGCAGGTATGGCCAGGGACAGCGATCAGTCACTTTAACAGAGTGATTTCAGGGGAGAAAATTAGGTATTGCAGCATGTGTGTGTGGTGACCAGAATCTGTAATTAGAGTTTTTATTCTTATTTCATAGGCGTGCAAATCCATTTGGGGAATCTGAAGACAGCAGCAAAGATGAGGAGGAAGGTCAGTGCTTCATTTTTCCATATAAAATTAGTCATGATTTTAGGCCTAATTCAGCTGTCAGTTATCCAGTGGCTTTTAATGAAAACACCCGACACCATGGAGCAGCGGTAACAGGCCCATAGTACAGCTGAAGGTAGTTACCTTTCAGAAGCCTTTTAAACATCACTTCCTGTGAAAACAAACACTTTTTTCCTTGACTGTCCAAACTGTATTCCAGATTAGGTTTATTTCAAATGTTTAAAGGCAAAAAGATTTGGTTTGCTTGGTTTTTGTTTTCCTTTTTTTTTTTTTTCCTTAAAAGTAGCTGTTGACGTGTTTAGAAAAGGTTTGATGGGACTGTATTATAATTCTGCTCAAGTAGCCATTATTATGTACTGTGAAATGCACAATCTAAATCTCACAGAGGCCCAGCATATAGCTAGCAGCAGCGACGTGTCTCTTTCAGCAAAAGGAGAGTTTCTTACTGCTGCCCCCTTTCCCTCCTCCCAGTGATGTGCCAGTAAAAGTCAGCAGATCTGACCTTTCTGTACCAGCACATGCAGGGCTCAGACCCTGGCTGTTCTCCTCTTCCTCTGTGCCAGTTACAACCGCTGTCTGGAACCAGCAGCCCCTGTCAGAAAACTGCTCGCAGAACCAAAGCAGAACCTACTGATCTGAACACTCTCGCTTGCATGTGCTGTCCCATTGCAAGGTAGGATGGTTGCAAGCTGCCTGACAGCAGAGTAGCTGTAACAAGCAGGCACCTCCGCACTGGCAGCAGCGGCAGCAGCAGCACCAGCACCCTGCTCCGCTGTAGCACGGAGAAGAGTGCAATGCTTAGGTGACTGCCCTGTGTCTCAGACGGCACAAGTGGATCCGCGTGACTCAGCTCAGGCTGATGCTTAACGATCTTTGTGGTGTCTTGTGCAATGTAGACACAGCTGTTGTGGCCTTCGAGCAGTCACGTTCAGCAAAAAAAAAACACCAACCGGAAAGGGAGCCTGATCAAATGATGGCTTTGTCGCATAACGGCTACTTAGTTGTAAATAGGAGTCTTATGGTGATAGTCAGTGAGCAAGGAAGGATTTAATGAAAACCTCATTGGAACCAGCTGCATGGAAGGTCAGAAGGACACAGAGGAACATACAAGGTTTAAAGATAAGACTTAATTTGATGGAAGCCAAGGCTTTTGCACAATCATAAATTTATCACAGTTTATGTGCATCTGATAACAAGATGGGCAAGTGAATTTTACTAGCTAATCAAATAAGGTATAAAGGACCAGTTACACTTTTAAAGCTTCCAAGCAACTGTGATTTTGTGGTGGTGGTTTTTTTTTTTCCCCTACGCACTGCCAGTTCAAGCACTGTTTAAAACTGGGTCAGAGCACTGCCTGGCTCATAGCAGGAAGTCACCACCCCCGCAGTCACCACCCACAGGTTTAGTGTTGAATTTCCAAAGTGAAAAAAATAATTTCATTGATAACTTCAGCTACTGGAAAATTGAAGCAGCACAGTGAAGGAAGTCACGCCTTTTATCTTCCAGATTCACTCTTGCAGCAGATGTTCGTAGTTCGGTTTTTAGGATCTATGGCTGTTCAGTCAGATGACACAAGTGAGGTGATTTATGAAGCTATGAGACAAGTGTTAGCTGCTCGTGCCATTCACAACATATTCCGTATGACTGAATCCCATCTCATGGTCACCAGCAAGAACTTAAGGTACTGTAAAATCTTCAACTTGTCAACATTCTGTTCTCTTCATACAACTTGTGATTAGCAAAGTATTTTTAGTTTTGTTTTTCCAAGAAATACACCCTTTGAGGGAGCAAGATCCCGAGATTCACTTCACTTAGTAAAAATGTGTCTCTTCTTACTCTGCAGTATCTAGAAGTCATCCACCTGACTAAGTTGTAAGAACATCCTACGAAAATTCAGGGGATGCAGTGGGGCTATAAGGCCCTGCAAAGATACAGAAAAAGATGCAGAAAAATGCATTGGAAGATTCTCTTTCCTTATATGTAGTAACAACAAGAAAGCCATTGCTGTCCTGTTGTCAGTGTTGCCACCATAGAGTATGTTGACACAAGACATTAACTGTAGCTGGAGTGTGTTTATGTCCATATGCATACGAGTGTATTAGCCCATACACGCAGGATGCGTACCAAATTAGTGACTCAGAAAGATACTGTGACCTGCACATGCCAAGCAGCTGAGAGTCAGAGTTGAACCTTGCCATCAACTGACTTGAAATCACAGATAAAGCATTTGATTCTGTGCAGATGTTTCCTCCTCTGTAAAATTGCTATAGTGATTGCCTTACTATTATAAAGCACCTTGAAATTACTAAGAATCACTCTAAAATAATTTACTTTCTTTTTTTCCCCCTACACATAATTGCAGGTTAATAGATCCTCAAACCCAAGTTACACGAACAAGTGTAAGTAACTTTTGTTTTGAATCTGGTTTTCTACCACAGCATTGAATACTCAGTCACATGAACTTGAGCTCTTGACCAAGCTAACCATATGCTGGTTAAAAAAAATAAATTCTTTATTATACTTTTCCAGTTTGAACTCGCCACTGTGACACAGTTTGCTGCTCATCAGGATAACAGGCGACTGATTGGCTTTGTGGTCCATCTCAGTGAGACGCTGGGAGAAGAATCTATGAGCGCATATATTTTTGAGAGCAACACAGAAGGGGAAAAGGTTTGCATAACATTTAATAAAATACTTTATTTAGAAAACAGGTCTTAGGCTTCTTGGCTTACACAGCTGGGAAACAGTGCTACAGAAGCAAGAGCAGCTCAATTTCTTGCCAAGAAAACGTGCCTTAACATGCAAGCCTTTGATGGCTTCTGTCTAAAAAGGACCAAATTCACAGGTAATGCAGAAGCACGTACAACAAGGAGGAAAGCATTAATATGAGCATTAAGAGATAGGGGAAAGGGTGTGTGTCTAGTACCAGCACTAACAAAAATGAATGTCAGCTATGTTGAGACATATGTACATCTGTAAAGCTTTCACAGACAAAGACAGCCATACTGTGTTAACACCACTGGGTGGTCGCTGCATATGGTAATAACAGACTACTAGAAATAAGGAATGTGCTGGAGAATTTGTGTCTTCAAAAACAATACCACTCTTACATGCACTGGAAAAGATCCCCCAGGTTTGGAAATAAAGTTTGGTGAATAAAACCGAGTTGAGTACAAAGATTTACCAGCCTAAGTGAGCTTTGAAGCAGAACCTAAGACAGATTTACGTAGTTAGCATGGTGAACTGGTATTCTACCTCTGCTTTTAGACCTGTATTTAAAACTTAGTTTGCATTGACACTTCTGTGCTTTAGTCCCAATTAAGGAACAAAGAAACCAAACCAAACAAAACTGAACTTTACATACATTTCTTTTTTTAGATTTGCTATGCCATTAGCTTGGGAAAAGAAATCATTGAGGCACAGAAGGTAAGTTTGTTCCATTCCCCATGTCTGTGTTGTGATACATCATATTCTGCTCTTGGTTGCACTGTCCACGTACCTCTGGTGTGTGTGAGAAAAGGTGGTGTTCCTCCTAATGACAAAGTTTTGCAGAGGCAAGCCCCTGGGTAGTTCATGCAAACATAAACTCTGTTTGAGTAGCTTGATTTGAGATAAAATTTGCCACCCTAAATCAAATTCAGAACTATACAAATCCAGTTGTTCGTGTTTGAAAGGAAGCTGTGAGCAAAGTTTTCAAAAAAACCCCAAACGAGTGCTTTGGGATGAAGTGTAAATCACACACATTGCTGTTTCACTTTTAGAAACTCATATTCCTTTTTCCTGTAGGGAAGAAAAACACAGTGTTTTTCCACTTTAAATGAATGGCAATAGCCCTTTGTAGATACATTTATCTATATAATGTGTGACACTAATACATTAATATTTGCTGTATATTTTTGCTCCTAAGATATCAGAACAAGTTGGGGGAAGGAGCTTTTAGTCACAGGCAATAAGCACAGGTATAGCAAATAATTTATTTAGACAGTTATTTTTTTCCTTTTTTTTCAGTAATTACATCAATGCCAGACAAGAACAGCAAAATAAAGGCTCAAAATGAATGCCCACCCAAGGGGTGGTTTTACTGAACCAAAAGGGATTATTTATGTTTCAAAACTTTAGACTAAAGATTGTCATTAAAATGAATGCCCACCCAAGGGGTGGTTTTACTGAACCAAAAGGGATTATTTATGTTTCAAAACTTTAGACTAAAGATTGTCATTAAAAAAAAAGTTGCAAAACCTTAACAAGAAGTACTGGGAAAACTCTGTGCTCCTCACAGATCGCTGCAGCCTGCTAAACCCTTTTTTTGTGTGTTTTTTTTCTTCAGGACCCAGAAGCATTGGCTCAGCTAATGAAGTCTGTGCCACTAACAAATGATGGAAAGTTCATGCTTCTGAATGATCAGTCAGAAGAGGATGGAACCGTGCATGAAGAAGGGGAGGAGTCAGAAGCGTAAAAAACTTGTCGTTCCTGCAGCCTGTGTTGGGAGCAGGAAAAGCAGGGAGTCGTTTTGCAGGACTCTCTGGTTTTCAGTCACCTGCGCACATACAAGGCCAGCTTCTCTCTTCCTGCTGGAGAGAGCGTGGCACCTTTGCAGTGGAGTTTCCTCTGGATTTACGATGGAACAGCAGGACTTGGCCTTTGAGGCTTTTTGCATTTGTATAGGTGTGTCGGGGAAGCTGACAATCTTCGGGAATGTTTCAGCATTAGCCCCTTGCTGCTGGTAGTTAGGACAGCACAGCTTCAGCCACAAAGGGTTAATGTCATTTCTTCAGATTTACATGGTGAGCAGCCTACAGTTCCACTGAAATTAGTGCAAGTTGTAAGCTGTCAGCTCCTTTAACAAATACCAGGCCTCAAATTTCCTACCATAGTAAATTTTCATAGTTTGCATGATTATGTGCATCTGAATGAAGGTTAAAAATGCACTATTATTTACTTTATTTTCAGATGAAGTTATTTTTAGTCTAGTCTAAGTGTAACAAGATTTCTCTTTTGTGCTAGCCTATTTACAAAACAATTTGTTAAACACTAAATTTTTCCTATTAATATAATCTATTTTTATATTGCATCTAGAATAAGCTTACAAAACAAATCTAAGTGCCTACTCTTACCTTCATGGGGACCGCACTCACACATTCTGTCATTAAATAATGGACATATGTACCTCCTTGATTTATTACTCTAAATACCACTGACATACAAACATCAGAAGTAGTCAACGAATGTGGCATGTTAGTTGTGTGCAGTTTTTCTACGGTTAGGTTTCTTAAAAGTCAAGTTGCCAGAGATGATAATTGTAGGACAAATAAGTACTTTCGTAATAAGAATTCTTTGTATTTTTAACATTATGGTGACATGCAACAGCTGAGTCTACCAGCAATCTTCGGTTTTAAAAAATTGAGCAATAAAATGCTAGATTGTAAGTCTACAATGTATTGACTAGTCTCATAGTACCTTCCTAAAATTAGACGCTAGATAGATACATTTGGCTAAGAAGTTTAGATTTTTTTCCCTCCAGTTTAACCTGAAAACATAAGAAACTGTACTTTGCAAGAATAAACAAAACAAACTAGTTATTGGGGGGGGGGGGGGGGGGCATAATCTGTGGCATAGTTTGTATTAATCAGGATAAGATAACTGGAACAAATGGCTGAAATTCCTCAAATTTAATTTAACTCTTCTCAAGCACTTACTAGGAAACTAGATTTTCTTAAGCAGAACCTGTGCTACAGCATCTGAAAGATCCCAGTTTGCAAGCATTTGACATGGAATAAATTCAATTTAGCTAGTTGTTGAATGTTTAAAAGAACCATGGAAGAGAACTGTTAGTAACTGACATGAACACTTCTTCATAAATAAAAGTTGAAGCTGTCTTATTAAAAAAATTGAGCTGATGTTACTGAAGACACTAAGAATGAGGTTCTCAAAATGACATTTATTAACACAGTTTTATGTACATGTTTTTCACTCACAAACCAGAGAGACTGAGGTAACAAAATACCATTTTGTACACTGAGTTAGGAAACATTAAGTGTTACATTTGGTCCTTTGTACCTGAGAAGCTGAAAACAGCTGTTGTTGATGGACATCAGATGAAAACTCAAACCTACTTCTGATTACAGACCACACTAGGACCTCCAGAACCTACCCTTCAGCCGCAGCAGTTCACTTCCCAGTGAAGCAAACGCCAGTCGGGTGCTGCTGCAGCCATCACTTACCACTGGTCAATGCAAACACCTTTTGACCTGGGGGCTGAAAGTGAGCCAGGCATCAGCTGTGCTCTGCTCCCCCTAACCATGGCACTGCAAGGAGGAGGGGCAAGGCAGCCCCATGGCTTCTGGCATAAAAGGGCCCAGCACCTTCTCAGAAGCAGGTTGCAAGACCTCTGGAAGAGCAGCTGCTACCACTCGTGTGTGCAATGGCCTTGTCACAAGACTGAACACGCAAGGGCAGTGGTGGCAGCTGCCTTCTCAGGGAGAGAGGCTGGCCTTCAGCCTGTTCTGCCCCCAGCTTGAAGGAAAAAAAGCTAGAGATCTGTTTCATTACCCTGCAGCAAACTCGTCATCCTCACTTTCCTTTTATCACCTCTGGGAATTTTGAGTGAGTGCGTTCGGTTTGGGGGATTTTTTGTTTTAGCTCCATCATCTCCTCTCCAGACAACCAGTTAGGGTCCATTTTTTTTCCTATAATTGGAACAGGAGGGCAAAAGCAGTGAAAAGAGTAGTAGCACCACAGCAAGAATTTTGTACCCCTTTCAAATCCTTGTGGGGGAGAAAAGGATTTAATGTGACTCTCGCTGACACAGAGGAGTGTGTGACATCCAAATCCAGGACCCACCTTGTATTTCGGATGAGAAAAGCTTTCTGCATGTATATGCTGCTACATGACAAAAAGAAAGAAGGAAATATAAACTAGCAAGAATAGCTCTATTATCCCTGTACATATTTGTGTGTATGTATATATTTTTGCCACATATAGTATACATTCGGGTCTCCCAGATTAAACAGGGTTCTATAAAAATAGGCTTATGTCTTTCCTGTAGAATTTCCATTGCCAGAACCACATGAATGTTAACCACCATACACATTAAGAAAATGCAGAGTTCAATTTATGTTCAACTGTAAAGTATTACCTATCTGAGATAGTGTTGTTCCAAAAAAATGGGAGAAGGGAAAATACAAGTGCAGATTTTATTAGAGCACGGGTAATGTCTTGACTGTACATAGCTACCTTGCAACTTCATCCTGGGGGAAATGAACACCATCTATACGTGATGCTGCAGTTGCTGTGGAAGAAGGAAATGTAGCGCTTGGCCGTTCCAAGCCAAGAACTTAGGTGGCTTCAGATGAGACAGGAATATGGAAATATGTACACTGCTATTGCAACAGTATGGAAATGAGCAGCAGCAGCAAGAATGCTGATCTCAGCAGCGCTACTGAGTGTTCAGCACGGGCACAATTTGGTCAAAAAAGAAAGTGTACACAAATTACGAAGAAAATACCTGTATCAAAATAAAAAAGCAAAAATACAAATCAAGTAATGCAGCTTTCTTTAGGGCAGTCTCTGCAGTTACAATGAATTAAAAATAAAAACTTCAGTGAGCCCAGCTGATTTCAACAGTCCATGAAGCTTCTGGGTCATGTTTTCAGAACCAATGAAAGAAGGACTTTCTTATCAGTCTGGTCTTTCCAGTTGCAACAAAACATTTGTCCTAGCTTTCTGAATGTTGAAGTGACTGGCAGGAAAGGGCAAATCAGAAGTATGCCAGAAATTGTCTTAACCAGTGACCCAAGGGTGGATGGAACAGTTTGAACCATTAAAACATTACCTTATTTGTAATTAGAAGAGATGAAAGAAGCTGGCAAGTATGGTCTAAAAATACAGTTGAGAGTGCCAAAAAAACCCCCAAAAAGTAATTCTCAGTTGGACTGACTAGAGTAGTTTATTCTAGTTAGTAAGACCTAGAAGTGTTTTATGTTCTGGGAGATTAAAACACAACTATATCTTTTAATGAAAGTGGTGTTTACTTTTAAGCTAAGTCTAGCTACTTACTTAAGTTGGGAATCTGAGTAACTCCTGCACAATCTAGAACCTCTACTTGCAGGCATTAGCAGATGTTACATTTATAGAGAGTTCTCACAGTGTTCAGCAGCTTCTGAAGCCTGCAGTGCAATTATTGTTAATAATCAGGCATGTAAGACTGTATGAACAACACAGATAGTACAACAGACCTACAAAGGCTAGGAAATACAGAATTGAGGCTGAAACTTGCAATTAGGCACAACATATTCATGAAGTGTAAGATCACTTAATTGTTACAGACACCCATCACACAGTGTCTGGTCATAAAAGGAAGAGCTGATTGTGGTTCTGTCTTGGCTCTGGATTTCCTTACTTCTGTAGATGCAAATCAGACCTTTGGTATGAAATGAGAAGTAATTTATTATCTTAACTTTTCTGGTTTTCCCATTCTCTGATATGAAAAAACAGCAGGGGGAAATAAATGCCTGACAGGATCCTAAGTTCCCAGAGTGCAAATACTACCTATAGTAATAATAAAGGTTTGTGGAATAAAACATTAATAAGGATTTCCATTTTGTATAATAGCTTTAACATACATTCACAACATACACTGTTACATTTCCAGTGTAATCTGTGACTGCATTAAATACAACAGGACTGCATAAAAACATGTCTGAATTAGGTTTTGGACAACAGACACACATAATATCTTTCTGGTTGAAGAGATGCACCAGTTCAAATCTTAGATCAATGGTCTATGAGTATTTTTTTTTTTAAATGCTATGTTAGAGATGCAAGAATGCATCTAAAAAGAATAAGATTTTTTTTTATCTGCACATCTGTACTTTAAAATAACTACCTCCAAGGTCAACATTTTATATAATTATTTTCAATCTAAAGAAAGTGCTGTAAATAATGTAAACTCCTCAAAAATAGGAGTTTCTACAGGAAATATAGACAAACACAGACCTAGCCTCACTGGACGCTAGTATACTACTGTACATTTTCTCTTGGGTTTAACAGAGCAAGTAATCAAATCTAGAGCTTTTACCCCTACAGAGTGTCACTGATAACAACAAGAACATGAATTATTTGAGTAAGTAATCATCACTCATACCAGCCATATCATTTCACAACAGGATCTGCAGGCGTAGGGTTGGAAAGATCTCCATTGCTTGCTTTAACAGATTCTTCTACAAAAATAAAAAATAAAGACATGGATCATGTTTAACATTTTATTCAAGGCAGTAAAAACAAAGCCTTAGCATATGTATTATGCTGATATCATAACACACTTGATACAGTATACCATGGTCAGCATATGCAAACTGACCTTGCCGCACAAAGGGTCCTGGCCCTATGAAGAAATCCGTATTTGGGGTGAAAGGTTTTTGCAATCAGTAGAACTTTTGTAAAGATTACATGTACAGG